ATATAATATAAAGATATAAATTATTCAGACTTCCAGCACTGCGTGTATAGTTCTCTTGAACACTGAAGTTATGTAGAAGCTACTGAAACTCAAATGTCAAATTAATTATTTCTTTGCTTGGGAGGATTTAAAATGTGTAATATATTTGTAAATAGTTGAGAAGACTAATATTAATAATCCAAAACTGCAGATTATTGCCTAAATGTGTGGGTAAGAGACAGATTGTAGCTGTCATATGACAACTGGTAATATATTCTGAATGGACTGGAAGATTAAAAATAGTTATGTATTTTTTTATTACCAAATGCTGCTTTCTGATTTACAAAATATGAAAGAATAAAACATAAAACTTTTTTTTGAATTAGCTGAAGCAAGGACAGACTCCATTGTGTGTGGGGTTGTATTGTCTGTGACTGTGTGTGTGTGTCTGCGTCCCTGGGTTTTTAATTTACTATTTTGTATGAAAAAATAATTCACATGATATTAAGTATTTTCCTTAATAGAAACAAGCTTAGCAATTTTATTTTTATCACCAGTGTGAACACAGTACAATTCTTTTTGGTATTATCATGCTTGGTAAATAACAGTTATTGAAGAAAGATGCAACAATCAAGACCTTATATACAGTAGAGTTATGTATATTCCTAATTTGGTACCCTTTTTTGCAGTTAGAGCACAAGTCAGTACAATCTAACACTGAAAAAAAATGAAAGGATTCAATTTATCCAAATGTTGCAATATTTTCATCTGTAGTGCAAATGAGGTTGCAGGCCAGGGCAACTTCTTCTGCACTATGATGGAAGGGTCCAGAGCACTTCTACACTATATATTCACGAAGGCTTTCATGGCTGGGATCTAATGGTTGTTCTGGGTTTTTCGGGCTCTTTGGCCGTGTTCTGAAGGTTGTTCTTCCTGATGTTTCGCCAGTCTCTGTCGCCGGCATCTTCAGAGGACAGCAACTTGTACTCAGGTGTAGTTGGCTTGGGAGTGCACTATTTATTACTGTGAGATAGGCTTTTGTCTTTTCCTGTAGATGGGTGTGTAGTGATTCCACACCAGAATCAAAGAACATGAGAGACACCGCAGACTAAAACAACAAGAAAAATCTGCCGTAGCTGAACATGCCCTGAAACAAACTGGACATGAAATTCTATTTCAAAATGCTGAAATACTGGACAACACCAGCAATCATTACAGCAGACTGCACAGGGAAGCCATTGAAATCCACAAGCACAAGCACAGTTTCAACAAAAAAGAGGAAAGTATGAAGCTCAACAAAACTTGGCTCCCAGCTATCAAACACACTACGTGCAAAAGGTCAACAAACTCTACCCACCCACAAGGACAGGGGATCACTACACACAAATGACCAGCTAATGACACCCATCAACCACAGGAACAGATAATCTCTTCCCCTTAGCACAACAATACACCCACAACAATACAAACTAATCACCCATCTATAGGACAAGACAAAAGCCTATCTCACAGTAATAAATAGTGCACTCCCAAGCCAACTACACCAGAGTACAAGTTGCTGTCCTCTGAAGATGCCGGCCACAGAGACTGGCGAAACGTCAGGAAGAACAACCTTCAGAACACGGCCAAAGAGCCCGAAGAACCCAGAACCCAGAACAACCACTTCTACAGTAGAGCCCGAAAAACCCAGAACAACCACTTCTACACTACCTTCCCTTGGACAGTCTTGATTTCTCCCTTCAGTGAGTTGCTAACAGTGAGGGCATTTGCACTACTGAGGCGACACAACGGAAGTTAAACACTTGCTTCACAGGCAGTGTCTGTGACCCACTGAAAAGATTCATGGTGCTGTATCCTAGCTATTACTCAGGGAAAGCCGGCAAATATATGGTCTAGCTCACTCTGAACTGCATGTAGTCCATAGACTACAATGCATCAGAAAATGGACTTTGTTGTGTGGCAAGTCCTGATTTTCCTTGCATTTGCTGGTGATGTGCCAGCAGTGGAGTTTTGCTTTTAGATCAGGATTTGGCTGCACCAGACAGACAACTAAGACTTATTCACACACTTCTCAGTATGCATGAAAAGGTAAGCCTGAAATAGAGGTAAGTAAACATGACTTTATTGCCTTTCCTGACTAAAAGGCTGAGCACTGTAAGATAGAGTCTGAGGCAAACAGATGTACAGCTTTCCACTGCAGTGGCAGACCCTTAACTTAGCATCCACCCTTATCAGCATCTGGCAGTCCTCCAGTATCAGTGCATATGCTTTTTATGAGGTCTTTCAGGGAGGTTCTGTCCTAGCTGAATGTTTGTGTAAAGCAGGGGTGGGCAATGAGCTGCAACAGATACTTTTGTAGTCCCAAGGTCCACCAGAGATGCCCCCGCTGTTAAAAACAAACCAAAAGTGTGTGGGAGGGGGAATGTCAAAAACTCTTATTTATTTTCCTGGAGGTGTCAGCAGGTGCAGTTCTTGCACTGGGGATCAATGAAAGGTATTTTAAGCCACCTCTGAATCCCAAATAAAACTGATAGTACTCATCTGTCCATTTCCTGTTCTCATTTAAGAGAAAAAAACCAGCCTGAGAACAGTGATTTCTGGGCCTTGGGTAGCTCACAATGGCATCTTTGGACAAATATTGTTGAATGTAAGTTTCTTGGGACTATCATAAAAAATGACCTGACTTGGAGTGCAAACACCGCTGCGTTAATCAGGAAGGCACAACAACGGTTGTATTTTCTAAGGATTCTTAGAAAGCAACAATTGACTGAGAGTTTGTTAACCACCTTCTATCGGAGTTCGATTGAGAGCATATTATCCTACTGTCTCTGTGTATGGTTCACGAGCTGCACAGTGGCAGAGAAAAAGGCAATTCAAAGGGTGATTAAGACGGCCCAAAACATCATTGGCTGTTCACTCCTCTCTTTGGAAGAATTGTATAAGAACAGATGTAAGAGGAAGATATCTAACATACTGAAAGACTCCTCTCATCCGGGATATCAGCTCTTTAAACTATTACCATCAGGAAGGAGATTCAGGGTATTGAAAGCAAGGACAAGCAGATTCAAGAACAGTTTTTACCCAAGTGCAGTATTGAGTTTAAATGCGGGGCCATAGGTTTTTGGTGGAATTTTAATTGCTGAGAGAAAACGGGGTATCTATATTTGGATGGTGAAAGTTGTGTATATTTTAACTTTTTTTTGTAGTGTTGTCCAGTTTTACCTTGGGGAAGAGCACCTCATTTCGTTGCACCCACTTGTGAGCGCAATGACAAATAAATTTCTTATGTCTTATGTCTTATATTGGCTCTCCCCCCCCCAGCCTGCCAAAGTTGTCCATCCCACATTTGCAATGTAGGCACTGCAAACTGGCCAACATTTTCAGGCTTCTGAAGTTGCATGACAAGTGAATTAAATTGAAAACATTGCAAAGCAGATCCAACAGAACAGTCAGGAACTGTTATTTGATCAGGTTCCCAATAGTTACCTTTTATTTTATTTTCCTGCATACTCAGAAGCCTGAAAACCTTGACCAGTTTATAATTGGTGTAACAATCAACACTGCCCCCAAAAAACTATGTTCTGTTTTATTTGGTCTTTTTCCAGTACCTTCTGACTCCTATACTTACTGCAGATATCTTGGATTTAGTTGTTTTGGACTAGAGATGGGGACAAATTTTAAAAAATGGCAATTAGTTTTGATCCGTTATTCATCAAGGTTAACAGATCAACGAATACGAATATTCGATGGATCGATTTGTTGATTCATCTGCACTTTAAGCAGTTATAACACTGGTCCCCAACGACCAAGAGACACCAAATTTGCAGGGCAGCTTCCTCAGACACTTTCCTACAACTCCCGAAAGTTGGCGAACATTGGATTATGGATCCCCGAGTTATATAGTCACAAAGAGGATCCCCCCAGGAAAGCTCCCCCCAAGTACTTAGAGACTCCAGAATCACAACGGAGCTTCCTATGTCTTTCCCCAATATGCCTGCCAACTTTGGTGAAGATTAGATATCGGACATCCCAGTTATTCACCCACAAATTGAATCCCCCCAGGAGAGTTTACCTCATGGCACAGAAGCCCATTCTGCCTACCGGCCGCCAATTAACTGATCAGAAGCCAATAGGCAGCCACCCACACACACAGCCAGGCACCTCAACAGCCCACCACCCACACCCCCTTCCTTTCCCTACCTTATCCCCCACCCCACTCCCACCCACACCCCTTACCTTAATAGCTGCTGCCAAGGTCCTCCATCAGGCCTTCACAGTGTAAAAAGGAAGACTTGCTGCCCTTTGCAAAGATGGCGGCTGGGGCTTCATTTAAGGTAGGGCAGCTGCAACTGCCATCTTTGCAAAGGGCAGCCTGGATTCTCTTAAGGCAGGCTAAGAGAATTCAGGCTGTCCTTTGTAAAGATGGCAGCTGCAGCTTACCTACCCTAAATGAAGCTGCAGCTGCCATCTTTGCAAAGGGCAGCCAGTCTCCCTTTTTACATGCTGTGGTTGGGAGGCCAGATGGAGACCTCGGCAGTGGTGATTCAGGTAAGGGGGTGTCGTGGGGTGGGGCGTAGGGTAGGGAAAGGAAAGGGGTGGGGGATAGGCTGTGGTATTGGGTGGCTGTGTGGAGTGGTGGCGGCTGCCTTTCTGCAGCCGATCAGTTGATCGGTGACCAGTAGGCAGAATGGTGTTTTGTTTTTGTTTTTCAATATGAAGGACAAGTAAAAACAGGTAAATATTCCTTCTTATTCATGGGAGTCTCTGGAACCCACAAATACAGATCAATGAATATTTAACAAATCGGCTATATTTGTCGGAAAAAGCGATCCATTTTTATATTCCTCCCCATCTCTACTCTGGACTAAGTAATATTTGAAGCCAAGAGCTGACATCAGTGAGTTGCAAGCAGAGCTTGGGAAGTTACTTTTAAAAGGTACTTAGTTACTGTTCACACCTACTCACTAGTTAGCTACTCGCTTGAGATTGGCAGTGTGTGCGCGTCTCCTATATGTGGCTATTTTCTGGCTTAAATTTTGTTTTCAGCTCATCTGGGTCTGGAGCTTCCTGTCACATTAACTGGCCTAATCATTGTATCAGTTATGAACAGGTTAGAAATAAGGTGGAAGGATCAGCTAATCTTACTAGCTTTTAATATGGAAAAGGTAAAGGTTCCCCTTGACAATTTGTCCAGTTGTGTCCGACTCTAGGGGGTGGTGCTCATATCCGTTTCCAACCCATAGAGCTAGCGTTTGTCCGAAGACAATCTTCCATGGTCATGTAGCCAGCGCGACTAGACACGGAACGCCATTACCTTCCCACCATGGTGGTACCTATTTATCTACTCACATTTTGCATGCTTTCAAACCGCTAGGTTGGCGGGAGCTGGGACAAGCGACGGGGGCTCACTCCATCACGTGGATTTGATCTTACGGCTGCATGCCTTCTGACCTTGCAGCACAGAGGCTTCTGCGGTTTAGCCTGCAGCACCACCACGTCCCTTTTAATAGCAGACCATGTAAAATGGTTCCTATACGTTCTTTTCATTAATCTGTATATACGTAACTTGTAACTAACTTTTACTGTGGATTCACTCAAAATAGGATGTTGGGTTTTGTTTGATCCTGTTTGCTGAAAGTATGAAGTATGTTAAATGCCCCCTGGGTTATGGTTGGCTTATGAGAGACTTAACATTACTTGCACACAGTAGATAATGAAGAGCTTTATAGAAGACAACAACCGAATAATCCCAGTGCAGTGAGTTGATTATGCAGTCAGTATACAACATTTCAGAAGTGGTGGAGTAATAAAACTATGACAGTAGTCAGGACATTCTTGTAAACTTGACCTCATACATATTCATTTGCGTCTTCATTCTCTCAGTGAAGGAGGGAGTGAAGAAGTCACATGCCCTTGTTTTCCCCTTTCACTTAATGTGAATAGAGAATGTGAAACTGGGAAGGAATGTAACAAAAAATGTGGAGAAATGACCCTAATCAAGAACAAACCTCATTACTAAATAACTACATTGACATGATTCCCAGAAACTGCCATCTGATGGATAAGGGGTATAATTGCAGTCCAATGGCTGCCTGAAAACAGAAGTGTATGATATCAGGTTGTTTATCCTCCTGCTTATGGGCAGAAGTGGTACTATCAGGCAGTTAATATAAACAAAAGTGTCACTGCTTCATGGCAAATTAAGTAAACAAATTTTAAAATATAAATAAACAATGATTTTTCACACACTCGTCAGAAGAATCAGTGGCAGCTGCAGAAGCATCTTATCCAAGGCCACAGATAAGGAAGCAGTTCCAGAGACTAAATAATGGATTTCACTTAGAAAAGCTAGCATGGATGAGCTCTGTTTAGAAATAGTCTTCTGGGTGTCTTAGTATGCTTAAAAGCTCTAAAATGCTTTTCATTTTATTTTTATTTTCACTTCTCCCAACTCAGCAATGACTGCACGGGCAAACTGACAAGTGTGTTCAAAGCTCCAGGTTCAGCAAGAGTCAAATAACCTCAAACAGTATATGTGACAATTCCAAATTAGAAATGTGCAATAAGTAGTCTGGGGGTTCAGTATTGTATGTTCTAGACCAGTGGTGTCGAAGATTTCTGGGAGTTGAAGGCCCAGAACATCTGGAGGGCCACAGTTCGACACCACTGTTCTAGACTCTGAAACACTCTCATTATGAGTGTTGGGCAAAGGACCTTTTTAATCCACACCTCTTCCCTATGAAGAGTAATAGAAACCTTTAATAACCGTTCTCTTATTATGCACCACTACATGACTTGCTAAATTTAGAGCATACAGAAAGGATAATTTTATTTTCAGTAGTAGCATTAAATACTATACAACACAAACTGTTCAGACATGACAATAATCCCTTATATTTTCATCTTTCATTATTTACTTTTTGTTCATAGTAAATCAATATACAGTATTATCTTTTCTTTTTGTAACCTCTATGGATTGAAAATACAGATATATTTACACACAGCATATTTTATTATAAAATAATCATCACAGTCTTTTGGAGGACCCTTTCATCCAAAAGAAGACTTTAAATAAATAAAACTCTCTTTCTCTCACTGAGATAGCTGGCTGCATAGAACTGTGCCAGATCTAAATTGGAAGTAAAATAATATACCCAACTATGTATTGTGCATTAAGGAAATGAAATTAAGCTGCAGAGGTCTTAAACCATTATTAATATGTTGTCTTTTGGTATTGGACAATGAATATTGCATGCTTAGCTGAAATACACATCTACATGGCTAGTCTGTTAATGAAAGATGGACATTCCTATCTCTCTTGCAATATAGATGCTCATGTGCATTGCTGCGATCACAATCTGCCAATCACAGACAAAATAGTAAACTGCTATTTATCACTGGGTGAGCAAAACACAGCCCTCATGTGGCCCTTGGAGCCCTGCTTCTTTTTTCAAAAACATGCTGCTAAACTGGTGGTGCGGTAGCACAACCTCTAAAGAAAACCTCAGTTTAATGCCAAAATAAGATGTGAAGAGTATATGGGCATGACTTAAAAGATTAACTGTGCTCCTGAAATGCCTTGTTTTGCAATATTAAAATGTTTTGTTCTCCAAGTAGATGTGGAAAACCCAAAAACAGGTTGTGCAGCAAGGATGGGAATGGCTGGTTGTGGACTGCAGTGGCATTCTGAGGTGCAGCAAATGTGATCCACAGACTAAATGAAGTTCCCTGTTTGTGATTTATTTTTATGGGATCATGGCCTTCCCTTCCCGCCATAAGACTACAATAAGGATATTATTA